CGGCGAGGGTTGGGTCGCGCGCGTTGCATTTCTCTCGATCGGGGCGGCGGTCAGCACCCTCTCCTGAGGGGGCTTCGCCATTTTGTGCCTGCGGCGTTGCGCTCTCTCGTGCATGCAGCGCTGGCCCGCCCCGGCGTTCGTGGTGAATGGTGAATCACGGCGCGCCGAATTCGTAACCAACACACGCTTGATTGAAAAACCGTTGTGGCTTTACACTCCTGTCGAAACAAATCCCTGCAGTACGCCCTTCGATACAGGGCCTCAGTCGAGGATGGAGGAGTGCTCCGATTGGCGGGCGCCGTCGTCGTCGTCGTCGGTCCGCCGTCGTCGTCGGTTGTCGTCGATCCGCGTCGTCGTCTCCCGTCGTCGTCGTCGGTCTTCGTCGGTATTCGTCGGTCGTCGTCGTCGTCTTCATCGTGATTTTCGTCGTCGTCGTCATCGTCGTCGTCGTCGTCGGTCGTCGTTGTCGGTCGTATGTCGTTGGTCGTCTGTCGTCGTCGTCCTCGTCGTCGCCATCGTCGTCGTCGCTGTCGCCGCCCCCGCCGCTTCCGCCCGCCGCCGCCCGCCGCCCCCGCCGCAACGTCCACGCGGAGGCCCGCCGCCGCGTGCGCGCGCGCGCGGGGAGGGATGAGGATGAACCAAGAGAAGGAGGAAGAGGAGGGGGAGGAGGAGGAGGAGGAGGAGGAGGAGGAGGGGGAGGACGAGGTGGAGGCAAGGGAGAGGCCTCCTCTTTTCCCCTCCCCCCTCTCCCCCTCCCTCCCCCCTCCCGCTCCCCCTCGCCGCCTTCCTTCCCGCCCCTCCCCCCACTCCTCCCTCTCCCCCCCTTCTCCCTTCCCCCCCCCTCTTCCCTTCCCCCTCCCCCCCCCCTCCCCTTCCCCTCCCCCCTCCTCCCCCCTTCCCCCCCTTCCTCCCCCTCCATCCCCCCTTCCCCCTCCCCCCTCCTCCCCCTCCCCCCTCCCCTTACGTTTTGCCCCCTACCCTCTCGGCCCCCCGTCCTCTGGCGCCCTGTTCCGCGCGCGGACAGAGAACAACTCTTGTGGAGAGCTCAATGCCTCCTCCTCGTCCTGTGGGTAGGGATGCCGTGAAGAGTGAGGCTTGCGCCGTCGTCCCGCCAGATTTCGTGGGTAGCCGCCGTTTCCTGGAACTCCGAGCTCGTGGGGTTCTCAAGTCGCGAGTTCGTTGCGAAGGCAGTGAGGGGCCGAAGAGCCTCTCGCTTGCAACATCCAGGGATGACGGTCGTTTCTTGCTCCAAGGGATTCCACAGGATAAGGGCAGGGTTTTTGTTGCACGACCTGGAGATGAGCCCCCGGGACGCTCTAGAGCGAATCGGACGTGGCCTTCTGGGCCCTCCTCCTCCTCGGCCTCGAACCTCGGTCCTCCTTCCCACCCCAAAAATATCATTTTTGAATACCCCAGAAATGCAAAATGGTAAAACAATAGCCCAAACATACGATTTTTGAATATTCCCCTGGTCCTGGTTTGTAGCTTGTCCCGGGTCCTGGTCTTCCTTCCCCCGGTCTTGGTTTGTAGCTTGTCCTGGGGGGGGGTTCCACCTCCCCGTCTGATCTTGAGCTCCCCCTCGAGGGTGGGAAGGCAGTGCCAGGGCTCCCCTCGTGCGGCCGTCACCGCATGGGCGTGCCTTCGGCCAGCGTGTCCCCCACCTGCAGAGTGGGTGAGCAGTTCGCCGCTGCAGGCCACCCAGATCCAGCCCTTTGTTTTCTGTGCATGATGTGAGCAGGTCAGCATGAGCGCTTGCAGTCAGGCTGCACTTCATGGATCCGAGGCTTTCTTGTCTTGTCTGGTCTCCTCCTCCCCTCCTACTCTCGCTGGTGCTTGTTTGCTTCCAGGACGTTGCTGTAAAGTATGTCGATGGTTAGCCTCTGCTCCTGTGGCCACGGAAAGCACGGCTTGCTCGGGCGGCATTGTGGTCGTCCCCTTCCTCTGCCCACTTCTCAGGAGGGGAAAACACACAGACACAATTAATCGTCGATTCCCCAGAAAATATGGGAAACTATGGGAAGTGGGGGGGCGACGACAACCAAGAAAATATGGGATTCGTGCGTCTATTCGTTTGTGTGTCTTTGGGCCCTTGTAACCCCTCCTCCCACAGAAGGGGCCAGGACCCAGGCAGGCGCGACGAGCGCGCGCCGCTCGCGAGGTGCGCCACGCGTGCCCGGGCGAACAAGGCTCGCCAGGTCGCAGCCGTGCCAGGCGCGCCTGGTGCGCCAGAGGTGCCACGTGTAACCGAGAGCCCCGCATAAGAAAGTATACGCCCCCTTTACCACTGATAGTTTTTTGTTTGATCCCCGGCCAATGCATATTTGGTCAGGGGTGAGGGGCGGCCAGGCCGAACTTGATTATCGCGGCGAAATTATCGCGGGGGAAAGTTGCGAATCGAAATTGTTATCTTCTCATGTTGAGTAGCAAGTCTTCCTAAGGATTCCTATGGATATCCTGAGGGTTCCTAAGAAGTGAGAGCGGGGTAAGGCGAGGGGGGAAGGCTTCTTAGAGCGCACCCCTGCTTCTCAGAAGGCGCGGGCCTCCTCCTCCTCCTCCTCCTCCTCCTCCTCCTCCTCCTCCTCCTCTCTCTCTCTATATGTTATGTATAGATGTAGATGTAAGACCTTCGCTTTCTAAGAAGCAGCCTGCTTCTGAGAAGCCTTCCCCCCTCCCCCATGCCCCCTTGCGCCCCGGGGCTTGAGGCGTGCCGCGTGCACCAGCCGCGCCAGGTGCGCGACAGTGCGCAGAGTCGTCGAGCGGCGACGGGCACGCCAGCGCACGCGACAGCAAACACGTGTCGGCAGGTCGGCACCCTGACTCTGCAGTGCTTGGTGTCGCTCGGACGTGTGCACTTTTTCTCGGCGGGGACTATTAAGGAGCATCCTGGAGCATCCTGCGGAAAAACCACGCACGAGACCGAAAAAAACGCAGGGAATGGACGTCCGAGCGATGGTCAGAGTGCGAGAAGCACCCGACCACTGGAGTTGAAACGAGAGCTTCGCCAGATAAGTCACCCAGCCCTCTGGGCGTGCAAATCTCGCGCATGTCGGCGCTCTAACTGCGCCTGCCACGAGCCCGTTCAAAGTGGCAGCGGGGTGGTCCGCCTCTGGTGCGGCCCTGCCAACATGTTCCCAACACCCGCCCGACACCATTGTGTGTGCGACTAGGTAAAACCGTTGTATGGTGATCACGTTCCCTTGCAACATATCATTTTTTATTCTCGTATCCTCACCAGCCCAGTCAGAAACGTTGTTCATGAGAGTTGACGGGACATGGGCGGAAGAGGCACGCAAAGTGTGACAAAGCGGGCAACCATGTTGAATTGAGGATGCGGGGGAGGAGGAGGAGGAGGAGGAGGAGGAGGAGGAGGAGGAGAACGAGGACGAGGACGAGGACGAGGACGAGGACGAGGACGAGGACGAGGACGAGGACGAGGACGAGGAGGACGACGACGACGACGAGGAGGAGGAGGAGGAGGAGGACACACCAAGTCCGAGCAACGTCAGAATATGAGGAGGGTATGGACGTCGACAAGAGAACGAGGAGGAGGAGTTGATGGAGCAGGAGACGAGGGAATAAGAGGAAGAGAAGGACAAGGAGGAGGAGGAGGACAAGGGAACGGAGGAAGAGGAGGAGGAGGACGACGAAGACAAGGGTGAGGAGCAGGACGAGGGAAAGGACGAGGATGATAACGAAGACACGGGCGAGGAGGGAGAATATGAAAACGAGAACGGACCGGATGACGAGGGTGAGGAGAGGAGGAGGAGAGGAGGAGGAGGACATGCAGGTCTAGGACGAGGAGGATGACGAGGATTCTGGCAGCCATCCAAGGGTCTTCTTGAGGCCATCTTGGGATCCTCTCGAGGTGCCCAGCTGGAGCCCTCTTGGGGCTCTTTCGGGCGATCGTGGGGTTCCATCTTGGGGCGCTGTTGGGGCTCTCCTGGGGGCCCTGGAGGGCCTCCTGGGGCCATATCGGAGGCCATCGATCAAGAAGGGGGCGTCCCGTATTCCCATGTCTAAGTCCCCCGTTGGGGCCCTCAACATCGCCGCGCGCTCTTGGGGCGTTCGTTGGCGCTCTTGGGGCCGTCTGAGGGACGTCTTGTGTCCCTTTTGGGGCCCTCTTGGGCCGTCGTGGGGTGATCTTGAGACCTCAAAGGGCATCGGAAGCGAAACTGGCGAGATTGCAACAGCCATTGATCTTCTTCCTTAGGTTGTTGAAGGATGGTGGCCGCTTGGGGGGTCCCGAGGGCGGCTTCGAGAGCACTTGTTGAACCGTCTTGTGGCCCTCGTCGGGCCTCGTGGAGATGTGTCGGAACCCATCTTGCGCCATCTTCGGTTGTCTTGGGCCAGCTAGGATATCATCGTGTAGCATCGCACGTCTGATTGGAGCCATCTTGTGCGGACAAAAAAGTCCCCAACAGGGAGGGAAGGGGGAGCGCACCCCTCTCCCGAAGGGAAGAGGGCTCTCGGGAGCGGGAAAGACAGAACTCGTTAGACCACCTACGCCCAAAGGGTTGGTGGGACTAGAAAGCAATATGCTCCGCTGCCAGGAGCCTTTTAGGACCTTCTCATGATTCTCTCAATCGCATTCCAGGACGCTCTCAGTGGCATCTTAGCCGCATTTCATGAGCCTGTCGGGTTCACACCCTCTCAGGAACATCTCAGCAGCCTTTCAAGACCATCCGCATAGCACCGTGCCGCAGGGTCGGCTCCAGAGAGCCCCGAGGAGGCACAGAGAGTGCGCAGCAGGACACCCACGAGGACACAACCTTCTCCAGCAGACGGCTTCGAGTCTCAGGATCTCGGCTCGTACGACGAGGAGCAGAGGATGGAGTAGAGGGAGGGAGGGAGGAGGCGAGGGAGGGCGGATGAGGCGGAGAACGAGTATGAGGACGAGTAGGAGGACGACGAGTAGAGGGGTGAGGGAGGCAGGGAGTGAGGGAGGGAGTCTCCGCGATCCCCTTGCTCCGCTGCTTTCTGCACACGGGGCCGAGAGGGAGGCCTCGCCACGAAGCCACTGGGAGCCTCGGCATCTTCGACCAGGCGCTGGGCGCCGGAGGCACCGCGGCGTGGGGCGGCAATCGGTGGTTCGAAGATGGGGCCCAGAGGGATGGGGTGGCAACGCCTCAGGAGCGAGCACAAGTACAGTCAAGACGCCGAGATAAGGAACAGCTTGGGTTCGGAAGGAGCTCGATGCTCCTTGGGTCCCTCCAGTGCTGCTCCTCTTACAGGGCCAAGAAGGGGCTCGCTCCTTACGTAGGCGCTGACAGGGCCAGGAAGGGGCACGGAGGCGCCTGCAGGGCCAAGAAGGGACTCCGTGCCTCATGTAGCGTCCCTTCGTT